TGACTTCTTTTTCAAGAAGCGCCGCAGCGGAACGAGAAGCCACGATTTTTACTCATGTTCTCTCCTTTTTCCCGCCCGGCCGTCCGTCCGTTTGTTCGTCTATTTGCTGAACGGGAAAGTGGCTTCGTCTCGTGGTCATGGGTTCGGCGATTGCTCCGATGAACAAATATTATATGCGAATCTTACAGTTACGACGCTTGGTACTACGGTGCTAGCACGGAGTGCGGCTCCGAATTTGCACATCAACCGCTCTTTCTTTTCTATCAGGTACATTTTACGGTAGTCGGCTATATTATGATGCGAACAGAACGATAATGGCTTGGAGAAACTGTTTTCGTCGATTTTTGAGAGCGCTGAGGAAAATTGTCGAAATTCAATTATGAAAGCTCACACAAAAAATACAGTCCGCTGGTCAAACCACAGCAACGCTTAATATTATTGCTAATTGTTCCAACTGTGCAATTCGGAAGTAGATCTGAATCTGTCAATAGATCTATAGATGACTACACACGCTGAAATACGTTATTTCGTGACAAAATTTCACTGGTAACAATCGAAAAACCTTCAGGCGTTTGTTGATATATTTCTATCTGAACTGATCTTTTTTTCGTGATGAAGCCGGTTCTTTGATGAAAGCTTTTTCTGCATTTCCCTTGGATCTTCACAATTTATCAATGCAGTCACAGGATCAAATAATTTCCACCATAATTATTTCAAGGAACGGGCCCAAACATCCAGCATCCTATCTGAGCTTCCTTAGCCGAATTCGGTGATTTTCATCTTCATGAAGAAGTTCAAAATACTCATAGAAGTAAATTAATGTTGCATTTTATTTAGTTGAATCGTGCCCTCATGGTTCGATACATGACGTATTCTACTGGTAACAACCTACGGCGTCCTTAATAATATGTATAATAAAATGTGATAAACGTGAGCATAAGCGTCAGAGAACTATTATTGTTAGCTGCGCACGATACGCAGGCCTAAGGTAAATCGTGCAAATAATCAGAAAAGCTCCTTGCCGTAATCGTATACGTGCCCCGTTGTTTATATATAGGGATATGCCAAACACTATTTCGTGACAGAAATTACTAAATGTGTGGGGTCACAATGCTTAGCAACGCTGGAGGTAAATATAGTCTATCATAGAGATATTCTAAGAGGAAGGTGAAGGGCTAGCACAAGGAACGGCTCGCCTCGCCTTTTCTGGTTAAGTGAGTTACGTTAATTGTACGACGCACGCTTATTCTCTAAATCTCCATCTGCACCCGCTTGTTCGAAGCTACAATGGGCGTACACCACACCCTAAGTATTCTTTCTCGAGTGCCTGGAGGTATTATCTTCTGTTTAAATATGAAGTAAATCAAATATATCCCTAGTCCTCAAATTTACCCGTGTATATTTGTGTCAATGCTGATTTTTGACCTATGTAAACGCTAGATGGCGCTCGTTAGCTGGAGCCGCAATGGTAACACTGCAGCTTCAAAATTAATTGAAGTACATACTCGAAACGGGATTGAGTGCTTATTTAAATAAAAATGCCTCTGTTAATTATGGCTATATCTTCAACTTTATTTTAACGCGCTGTCCCGGCTAAAAAGTAAAATATCCGCAAAAGCAATGTTAAATTACGAATTTATAAGACCAGCTAAAATATATCTTCTGTATGGGCTATTTAGAGGAGAATATTTTCATGTATGATGAAAACGAAGTCTCGACTCGCACGTGTCAAATTAGGCTCAAGGCCTTCGCAGGAAAGCTCGCGGTTTTCTGTTTTAGATTTCGATGTAACGAGGCGTGCCGTTCTGCTAGTATTTTTAATTAGGATCATCAATAAAGCTGTTTCATATATTTACGTTATAAAGCGCAGATTATTTTTGGGTAACACGCGTGCTAATGGGCTTAGAACGAGCGCTTTTTTTCGTGAAATATCGTAACATCGTTTTTTACGCGTCCTTGCTGGTCGGTAACTCGGCTACGCCGTACCATTTAAGAGCAAACGTACAATTCAGAGTATTTCTAGCATGTAAAGTCGTCTCTCTCATATATATATATATATACATAACGACGATAGTAATCTTGAAAAGCTGTGCCTATGTTTTTGTCTAACCATATTAAAGACACTAAAATGTCAATTAGATTAAAATACTTTTAAATCTCAATTGACAACAACAACAACAACAACAAATTAGCCAGCTTCGCTGCTTAGCTATGAAACTGCTACAAGTCCTGTTTTACAATCCTGGTGTGTCCTTTTTTCCTTATATGTTTGTTCGTTGAGAGAAGTTCTCCTAAATGTGACCCACATGGCTCCATTAAATCCACTACCATCTACGTAGTTACAATTGTCTATCATTTAAGATTTGTCATCGACTGATACATTCTCTGTAGTTGTCCGTCGTTCCGCCACAAAACACATGAAAACGACAATTCATTCGATGCCACTATACGGTCGACAATGAACGCTTCATTGCCACCCAATCCGATGGTGGTGGCTAGTAAATGATCTGAGAAAAACTGTTAGGTCAACTATCCGCACCGCCGTAGACAGACCGCTTTCGCTCAGTCAGCTGTTCGACGTCGTATTCATGGTTCGATGTTTATATTGGACAATTTTCTTATTGCCCCCTTTTTCGGCCTAGAAATCTCGTGCTCCTTTCGCTGCACGCACACATTCCCTCTACGTTTTGTATGCTTATTGGTCTGCACATATGTGAGAAATCGCGATAACGTGTTTGTTATCGCCCATCGTGTGCCACTCACATATGCATGCATACACACACAAACACAACAACACTCAGTCATTAAGGTTTTTTTGGGCCAATTTTTTATCCGCACCGCGTTTCGCACAGGAGATCGTTTGCGAATAAACTAACAGGCCGGCAGGATGTCATCGTATACGCTACCATTCCGATTATTTCACTTCACAGGCTTATATCACTGCTATTCCACCGATGGCCTTAACTCAGTCGTTGATGCCGCCGTCGTTATTATTATTGTTGTTACATAGAATCCAGTGGATATGCCCCATTCAAATCCTCCAGAGTACCACATAGACTGACTTACAGCATAACGGTTCTACGTTATCTATTTCATCTCAAAGCTCTTGTTATATCCCCGTTTTCTTCATATATATATATATATATATATATATATATATATATATATATATATATATATATATGAGTCATGTAGTCGCGCTATCGTGCCCCTCAGTATTTGTTTCATTCTCAACAGCATAGCCTCGTTTAATATATATCAATTTCCCGGCGCTTCAACAAGCTCTCTTTCTATCTGTCCCCACAGTCGTCTACTGCCGTGCTCCTGTCGATCGGTGTTCTATAACTAGACATAAACAAATATATACATACGACGAACGGATTGCTTTCAGACTGAACGACGAAAAGCCCCCGTTTGCCGCCCATCCGCCTTGCCACCAATCCAGCACCATTGTAAATAGTCAACAATGCAGGTAGAAGAAGGGCGCACTAGTCGTATCTATACCAATGGTGCACCAGCGAATACGACAAAAAACTTGGATGATCAGAAGGGGCATTGATGGTTTGAAAGGTTTTACTTTTAAAATTATTATGAGAAAAAGAGCCACTATATAGCGGAACAAAGCAGAAGTGCATAAAACGCTATTGAATAAACAGAAGATAAAAAGAATTGGCTACTGAAAGCAGACGAGCAAGTCTCATATTATCATCAAGTGATGATTTAAAGGTACCGCGGCGCCTAAATCCAGACCTTTTCTCGCAAGTTATTCCCAAAAATGCATCTGAAGCAAACCAGATATCTCAATGAAACTTTTTACATGTATTATAAATTGTCTTCTTTGACGACAACGTTTATTCCATTATACTATAACGGTATGTGCCGACAATGTTGATTGCAATTACACCTTCAGCATAAAAAAAACAGTATTTATTAATTATTTTCGCAGTATTCTTTCTTTAATCCGCTTAATTATAAGCGTGGTAAGTGATAACTTCTTAAAAGGTCGTTCAAATACAAAATATTTCAGCGGAATTACGTGCTGGCATGATAGCAGACCAGAACCCCTAAAAATATATGGGTTCAAACAATAAAGAACGCGCAAAAGTTTCAAAAAGACAGTCAGAGATTATCATATGGGCAGTTGATATCTCTGCACAAAAATCCGCTCAGATCAGTCATGTTATTTTCGGCAACTCTTTAAATCTAAACTTTTAGAGATCATCTAGTTAGCATAATTGAAAATCTCCCCGATTTTTTTCCGAATATATGCCGCATAAAAACTCGTAAATAACGTGCTACTTTAAGCAAAGACGAGGTCTTTTTTATTTCGGTGAGGCTTTGCCCCGCGAGAACGTATTAGACAATAGCTAGGCTCTGCTCAAGTTCCAAAAATCACATGTCGCCATGATAGAAATAACTGGGCTTTTTCTGGTACCAAGAATAACTTCTATAAGCAACTGTTTGCCACTGTTTGCCCAAAGGTAAACGCCCTCGTATAACTTATATAACCTAATACGTTGAAAGATTTGAGCTTGATGATTTCGACCAATATTCTTTAAGGAGATAAAGTTCCCGCACCTTACAACGCGTGAGTTCTAGATAGCTGCAGGTATGTATATCAATATACGTAAACGACCTTAGAGGGTTAGACGTGAGTACTAAAATAGAATATGATTGATTCACTCAAATAGACCTCGCCGCTAGATGTCTACTCGGTAGGGGCTCGGGAACAGAAACGTCTGTGAAGATAACCATGATTTGGGCGCAAGTAAAAGGACTATAGCTATGTTCAAGACAGAAACTGCCTACAGACAGATAAGATCAAATCTAAAGGAGAATGTGTGAGGAGCGTATTGTCAATGTAATTATCATCGACAAAAAGGAGACCTTTGTGAAGCCTCTCATAACAATATGTCTATCGGAGACGGCCAAAATATGTTTAATCGATAAATACATAGGTTAGTCTATATTAAGTAAATTATATTAATTTCGGATGTAAGTTCCACAGGCGACCTATTCGTACGTGTACAGCGCAAGACATTGATTGAGGACTGAATGGTTTCTTTAATAGCGATGTTAAGGATAGAAAGTTTTAGTCGAGTTCTCTAGCTGAAGATGAAGAGAGCAAAGTCAACAGATCCGAGTTCCACAGGGAGTCGACATTCAATAAAAATGCACATAAAAAAAAAAACTACGACAAACATACATTCATTTTCAGGTAGGATCTCTACTGAGACGCAGTCCTATTATTGTGTCCCTTTGGTTGAAGAGTTATACGAATTTATCCAATAACACTTGGTAGATTCTCCCTTTTTTCCTTATATGCTCGAATGGTGGACACATATTGGATAGACTAAGGGAAAACTATTATAGATAGAATTGGTAAACCTTCACAATGGGGCTTCAACTTCAAAATTACAACTCATAGAGAAAGATATTCAGATTATGCGAAGTTAGCGCTTCGAAAAGTTACATCGATACGAAGCGGATGTTATCTTTTACTAGGGCCGGTCTAGAACGCAAATTTACTGAAGCCGGCGTATCCGCTTACACGGTTATTTATGTCCGTACAAAAACTATCCGACTTGAAGTGTGATTTGATGTATTAAAGATTCAATGTCGGATTTCGGTAAACTGTTTTAGATGTATATTCTAATGTCCATCTAGTATCTTCCGAGTACTAAAGTAATAACACTTAGAAAAGTAAATGAAGTACGTCAGCGATTCTGGAGCATTCTGTCGACGAGCTGAATAAAAGTAATAACTCATCTTCTTCATGATTTGGAACGCTTATGCCTAAAACCTCAATAGGATACACTTTGCGAACTACTAAAAAAACTAATTCATTCAATAAAAGGTGCACTCTCCTAAGAAAAAGGAACAGGCCGTATAGAACGCTATCTATAGTTTCCTTTTTTAGTATTCTTTCTTTGCAGCACTAATAATTCACAAATTACCCGCCACAAAATTCATTCATGATCTCTGAAAAGTTATCCTTTATATATCCTTATTATAAAAGATTTCAGCTTTACTGAGCGTATAAAAGCCTATGAAACGGAAGTTATATATATATATATACAGAAAGTATATACAGCTAATGCATAGTTCGTGAAGGTTAGGCCAGATGCCAAGGTAGGCACTACCTTCTAAAACAAAATGATAACAAAAGATAAACTACTACTTTTCCCTTTCACCTACAAATGAAAAAAAAAAAGGTAGTCATAATTTCGTGTACGGCTATACAATAACTATCAATTTTTCTTACAAACGAGTCGAGTTTTGTAATTTAATTTACTATATAATGGTGTAGAGAAAAGGTAATTCGAACATTTAATTGTTTCTTAAGTATTGTTTAAGTGATACTTTTTTTTTTATTTTATTTTATTTTAAGTGGCTTTCTAAACGTCTTCAGAAGTTTCAAAATGCCAGATATTGAAACATTGTGATGAAAAAGAAGAGCTATGCGTAGCGTCGCAAGAATCTAGGACAATAATGTAAATAAATCAATAAAGTTGTGTTCTATCCTAGGCTCCTTTCTCGTACCAACGATGACTAATACCTCCTAACAGAGGAAAAAATCGGTCATTCATTACGTTTCGCCCTTGGCTTAAGTGCCTAGTTTTATTATTTTCGTGTAACTCTAACAAATGTTTCTTTAATTTACAGAAAAGTGTGCTTAGACCGTTACCCTCTCCTTCCCCGGGTACCCCCCGCAAATATAAAAGGATATGCCTTTCGAATCAGCCCCACTAGAAAAAGAGGCGGTTGTCTACAAATATTGAGAGGAAAAGTAGACTCGTCGATAACGTGCAGTCCTAGGTCACGAACAATGGATACGTTCACATTTACTGCTTCCATACTAGAGCTTATTCATGTCAATGCTTCGAGTAAAATTTGGCTCAAAAAGTAGCGTGCAAATCGCGTTTTCATCTTTCTGTTATGTCGGAACGTGCCGCTAACATTGCCTCATTCCCTTTTGTTTCATTCCCCCACGTATACGGTACGTCTAATTGCCAGTTACTGCCAGCTGTTTGCACTGGTCCCACTTAAACTTTCATCTAGTAAACTTATCTGAAACGGAGTGACAAGTACACCTGGGCCTAGGTATTGCAAGCCCTGGCGGGTATTTTCATTGGCTGCCTTTGGACCCCATTTCGGTCGGATCTCTTCAAAATCCAAGTCGCCTCACACCGCCCGCGAACTTTTGCAAATCTGCAATGTATTTCGTCGTCTCGTTGGTCGATCCGAGTTTTGAGTCTTGCAGCAGCGAGCTTGATCGGCCGGTGCGTTCGGTCAGCTAAAGTTATAATAACGGGTTAAGCGACATTCGTCGACGATCCAATTATTCACTTCTATTAAGTGTTACCAAACGTTCGGCTGGCAGGGCGGATACGCCGGGCTAGCACTAGCAATTACAAGTGATGGCTTGACTCTCGGGGTTGTCAAGGGGCACTAGACCCCTCGATCTCCAACCTCATAGCTCTTTACCCACTTCTTCTTTCTAACTTTCCCCTTCGAAAAAACTATTTGAACGTCGGCCCTATCCTGCATGCTCTGTTCAATTCGCCGCTATCTCTCATAGAGATCTCCCTAGGCTATCGGCGGAACAGTATCGGTCATTGTTGCTTATTCAGTTCCCACGCAGACCCGCTCTTCAGCTGAATTGCGGCAGAATGCGGACTCTCAGGGAACGTTTACTAGCGGACAGGTAGACGAATAGACTCCACTAGCTTGTGGCAATGTGGCTTAAATGTGATGTCCTGTACTAGCCGATTAACTCTCCTGCCCCCCTATTAAGCTCTTCGCTGCCGTGACTGTTTTCAATCGTCTGTCTCATCGTTGAAGAGGACAATTTTTTTACACTTATTATTGCAAAAACTACTAGCGCATTCGTCGACAATACAGAAGACGGCTATTTCATCACTTTTACCGCTACATGACAAGCTCAACGGCCACTAATTCTATACAGAGAGAAAGAGAGTGAGACCGTCGAAATCGCGAGGCGGGTGCTGGCGGTATCGTCACTGTTTTTTACTGCGCTGCTAACTAATGAGGCGACTTTATCAACAATATTAAGTATCTAACATAGATTATATAGTTATGCGTCATTAAAGCAATGACTCTAGGTCCCTTTCAGACAGGGGGCTGCCGTTCGCATTGCTGTTATTGTTGTATTTGCAATAAAGCTTTGAGTCTGAAGCTCAATGAAAAAAATCACTGAGTATATTGAAGTTTTGCAGCACGATACAACAATGATAATAATCGCTTCATTGTGCGCACAAACGCTAGCTGAGCACTTGAGTAGTTACGTACACACCGTGGTTCGTGAGGAACAAGCCTGTCGGCCTATATTCGTCATATAGGCTTGAAAAAATAGCCGCGTCATTGATAGAGAAATTAAAGGACGTTAGAAAATTCCTCCTACGAGATGAATTAATTGCCAGAAATAGAAATGGAAAAAATTCCGGGCCGCTGTCCTTCTTCAAAGGTTATTGGCGTTCTCAAAGCTTCATCATATTACTCTTTTTTCTCGATATGACTAGAAATTGAAAGAAGGCAACATGAACATGGTACCAAGTTGATTCGTTCGTTGCAACCGTTAACTGAACCTCAACTCTACATCAACACTCGTAGCGCTATTGTGCTAACCCTGTCACTAGAAAACTAAGAGCTTCTTGTTCATCAGCCGCGCTGGCTGGGGCCGCATCGGATGGTAGCACGTCATCGCTCTTCATAGCCCCGTTCCTTCTCGTCACACTTCAATTGTATTTGGTCGAATTGCACGGCTGCATGTTGATGCTGGCGGCGGCAGTGATGATGGTTGTTCATCATCATCATTCTTCTTCTTATTATTATTCCAGCACCTCGGTGATGTCATTTGTGCTTGCTTCCGCTTGCATTTTGCGTTTTTCGTTCCTTCTGTTTTGTTACGTTGCTCTGACGATGAGCAGCGAACCTACTCCATGGCCGACGTTGCATACGGTGTGCTTCGCCACCATCTATCTACCCGCTCTTTAACGCTACGATTTATCTATAATACCTCTCGCAAACAAAGTGTGGGCCTCATCGTTTTTCCACGACGAACGAAGCGATGACGATTTCCCTGACGAATTTAGCCCCTTCTCGCCTCTTGCCCCATGCAATACCTAGATGCCCTTTTCTCCTCACAGTCCTCCGTTCGGTGTGCTTAGCAGCGCATATTTCTTCCCGGGTCCCATATTTCCTTAATTCTTCGCGTATATAGTGTAGCAGTCCTTAGGCAGCTATTTTTTGCCTCCTCCTGCTCCTTCGAATCGGCCATCGCTCCAGCACACGCGCGCATACACGCACAGGCACACACGCACGCACGCACGCACGCACGCACACTCGACCGGCGCATGCACTCACTAACATGCAAAGTTCGACGGCGTCATCTTCTTTCCAATTCTTCGTATTTCGTTAGCTATCTGTCTTTTCTCTTGCCACGGCGGCACCACGGAGCAGTAGAAGCGGTAGCAGCGTTTGTTCTAACACACGCACAGACCCACGCAAAAGCAGGTTTTGTATTTTTTTGTCCTTTGTTCGTTGCTGGTACCAACCGCATGGATGAGTTACCGCGGCGGCTGGCGGTGGCTCGTTGCAAAAGCAAGAAAAGAAATCTCTATTCGTTCGACTGCCTGTATCTTGGTTTTGATGTCTCATGCAGTTTTATCGGCCCAGGAGACAATTCTGCCCGCTGCTTGATCTAGCTGCACGGTCGATGGACTGCTTCAACTGGAGTAGCGACCGTTGCCGCTATACGAACGAAAAGCTTAAGTATCAACAAACGAGCGATGTTGTACCGAGTAAAACTGACTCGGATTTTCTATTAAAAGCTTGATTTACTCTTTAGTTTGGTATCGATTGGCAAGTATCAGATGAGTAATCTATTGTTTGGTAGTGAGCTATCTGACAATGATAATAATTCTATCTGATAATACAAATAATAGGCCGGGAGATTTTTGCGTGATTTATTTAATGTTATGTTGGTAGGCCGGCGCGGCACCAGTTTGCGAAACGTAGAACTACTTACTGCGTAGAACGTTTTGCAACGTCCATTGGGCATCTCGGCCCGGTAATTTTTATTAGACACTGTTGGCTGGATAAGTCAGCGTTCATTCATATGTGCCGCAACGCGGTCATCCTCCTATTGTTCACGATAGTCTACTCTAGGAAACTCTTCGAGCCCATAGAGGAGACGCACATGGTACTGCGTTTCGGTGAGTATCCGAAGTCGTCTCTATGATAAGTATAGTCGAGTATTTGTCTCGTGTACGAATGTAATCGCATTGCTAAATCGACTCGTTGTCTATATGTTTTCGTTCGTCGGCTCGCATACGCGCGTGTTCCACCGAGATGACTATGGTCGCTATTATTTTCTACCTGCGTGACCTCTGTTTGCCTCTTTTATTAATCAATCTAATTGTTCTGACGCCACCCATTTTGATATCAATGGAACGCCGGTGAAGTTGTAGTGAAGCAGGGCGCCGGCGTGTGTACGTTGGCTTTTTTCAACAATGCTGTCCTATGTGAGAAGTCCTATCCGTTTACTACGTCGTTGTGTTCAAGAGACTTGATGAAGGTCATGATCGACGCAGTTGGTCCCATTTAGCCTATAGTTGATCGCCGGCGCACCTGTCTCTATCCAGATGGTGTATATCAGATCTGGATATCGCTATTTGAATTCCAAATTAGCTCAATGTCATCGTATTAGTCGTGGATCCTTCTCGATAGGGTTGTTGTCGAGAAT